ATCCGCAGGGTGATTCACAGAATACACTCCGCTGACCGCTTCTCGCTGAGCGCATTCTTGCGAAGTGCTCTATTACCAACTTCAAGGACGGCGGTGTTAGACGTCCTCGATCTACTCCTGCGAAGCCCGTGGCTAACAGGATAAAATATTGTCAGTACCATTGGAGTCACGTGTTGCAACTGGTTTTTAAATCAGAGTTTTCACCCTTAATTTTTATCCTAAAGGAAGGGGAGTACAAAGGAATAACCCTAAAGTTCAGAGATTCTAGATTTGGACTCGGTTATAGACGAGGGGAAGGTGTTAGGCACCCCTTATCTACCTTGTTCGCAAGGTTTAGAAGCGTATTTTTTAGAAAAACAGTTTTTAATGTTTTATTAGGGGAACTCAACACGATTTTAGTCGTATGCCTACGTATCCTCTTAGGAGGAATCAGAGTCTCAATTCATAGTTCGCAATGTTGGTTGGTGTTTTTTATAAGTTTGTATAGAATTGCTTTCGAATTAACCTTGAACCTTGTCTGGGTTGTAAGTAGAGTGATCATAGACGCAATTCACAGTTTGATTCGAAGACAATGCTATTTAATCTATTTTTTTAAAAAAATATCTTGAAGTTTTGATTAAGTTAATAGAAAAAATAGTTTTTTGATTGGTTAGTTATGTTATGACGTGGACCGAGAAAAGTCTGATATAGTCTTTCTCCTCATGTGGCAAGGTATTGGCCATGTGTTGCTCGTCGTGAAGGATGCGGAGGAAGTCTGATATAGTCTCCCCGTCACGTGGTCAGATGTTGACCACGTGTCACTCACAGATAGAATATTTGGCGCAGTGGTCAGATGTTTGATTTTGAATAATAAACCGATAAACGATATATCTATCGATTTAATTACCCAAAGATGAACATCCTATTAATTATATAATGCTTGAATCAATTAGATTGTGAAAGGGTGTGATTTCATGTTTGTAATTTTATTGTATTCGATATTTTTTATATTTTGATATTAATTAAAAAATAAAGTTAACTAAAAATTTTAATAAAAAAAAAAGTGTTTTTTATATATTCTGGTTAGATTTATTTACAAGCTGATATGTTCTCTAAAAAACCTAAACTAATCTACTTAACCTAAAAAAATAAGAAACTAATTAAAACAACTAAACAAATAAATGAAATAGAATAAATAAATAGCATAGAAAAGACTGGAAGTGTAGATGAGCAATTGAGTGGTATAGTTAAGTAAAACAGTAGGAGGTAGAGCCCATATCAATCAAGAATCTTAATTAGAATTATCAAATTAATTATCTAAATAAAAACAAAACAAAATAAAATAAGAAGAAAACAAAGTGCAGATAGAGTACCACCGCCACATTTGGTTAATCTAGAAACAATTTTTCACTTCACCAAACCAACCACCCACACATGGACACATGGCAATAGATTTAAATGATAAACATAAAAAAAAAAAATTAAAGTTAGAATTAATCAATAACATGTTTTATTCATTTTCTCTCCACTGTGTTCTTGTTCCTCTTGTGCCAAAGCACACAAAAATTATAACAAACAGGAGCCTCATCTTTCTCTTCTCTTCATCATCATGAAAAAAGAGAAGAAAAAAATAAAATAAAACAAAACCTTACAACAACTTGCCGAGAGCGGATCCAGTGCTCAAAACGCCAGCGAAAATGATTTCAACCGGCTGAGATCTCCACGGCGGTGGGATGTGGCTGTTCGGCAGCGTCTGATTCTCCGAGTTTGATGGAAACCACCGCCAGTGGGTGCGGGATCATTGAGCAGCGGCATAGTCGTTTTGTGATCGGAAGTCAGGGCGTGTCATCAACGGAGTTGGTCGTGTCCGTGGAGTTCGTGGTTGTTGTCGTTGATTTGGTCGTGGCCGTATCTAGAATCTGTGGTCACAGCGTGGGCTTGCAGAATTGTTGCAGTGAGTTTGTAATGCAATTTTGATTTTGCTTCTTTATTTCTTCTTCCTGTTACTTTTTGTGCAAAAGAAAACAAAATTCGACACCCATTGTTAATATCCAATGTTATTTTGTGTTGGATATATGAGTGTGAGAAATTAATAATGGTTGTTGTAGTTTGTCTTTGTGAAGATGAAGGATTGGTGATGTTAGTGATGATGATAAAGTCATCGTGCAAGTTGTGTTAGTTTTGTGAACAAGCGTACATATGGGCTAGAAATTGGAATTGGTTTCAAATATGTACAGGATAGAAACTTTATGGGTCAATAATTTGTCAATGATTTAACGTGAAGAAAAAGGAAAGGGTTGTGTAGTGTTTTCAATGATAAAGGTTTAGCAATAGCGTGAACGTAAAAAAATAGCCTTTTTACGGTGTGTATGCGTGAGAATAGGATGGAAAATATTTACAGTACGAGTGGCCTCTATGTAAAAAATTAGTTTTAGAAATTGTGTGGAAGATAAGAATTTCTACGCAACGTGTTAGCAAATGCAAGTTAGGACGCAGATGTGTGAAATTTTTAATGTAAAAAGACAATTAAAACAAATACAACCATCGCGTGATATTATCATATTCAAATAATAAACATATTAAAAAAATATGAAATTGAAAATATAAAGGGAAGTGAGTGAAATTTTGAGAATTTGCTGATAATGTGGAAATTGTTAAATTCGAATTTGTGACTTCATATTTGTAACATTCATTCTTTACTAATTGTGCTATGTTACTCATTTGTAAATAAACTCAATTAAAAGTAATGAAAGGTATGCAAATATTTGTTATTTTAAAGATACAAATAATTTGAAATAAATCATTATATTTTTAAATAGGTTTGGAAGCGAATATTTATAAAAATTAAATATTATAAAAACAATGTTTAAAATATTTTTGACTGGACTTAAGAATGAACATCTATAAAAATCAAAAAATATTATAAACAACGTTTAAAATATTTTTGACTGTAGAAATAAAAAGGGCGGGCAAATTTGGGATATGACATCACAGACACCTGACAGAAGACTGTCCACCTCAAGGATGCCATCGAGAGCCTCATCAAAGATGGCAGACTTGGGCAGTATCGACGCAATGACGCCCCTCACCGAAACACTCGCGAGGTGAAAGAAGCTGAGGAAGAAACCTGACCATCAGATGAGTCTGGCCCGCATCCAGATAGCTTTCTCCGTGACAAGGCCAGAGGACTTCTACCTCCCTGACAGAGACGAGGACGAACATTTGTCCACGCACAGCAGATGGGAGAAATTCCCCTCCGCCATGGTCATAACTGGCGGGGGATTCAACGACCTCTTCATAAATTCCATGAAGAGAAAGCTCGACGAGCTGGTGGACGCAACCCCAACCCAAGTGGTGACGCTCAAGAGGTTCAAAGGAAAATCTGAGTCAATCACTTTCTACCTTGAGGAGTTGCCCGACAGGTTCCCTAACTCAAGCATCCCTCTACTGGTGAGGGAGAGGATGGCTAACTTAGACGTGCACCGTATTCTGGTCGACGAGGGGAGTTCCATCAACGTCATGTACAGTCATCTGTTCTAAACCTTATAGCTCGACGACACCCATCTGTCACCATATGTGGGGTTCGACCTGCAAGGCTTCAACGACTCGACCTCCAAACCATTGGGCTATGTTGAGCTTTTTGTCACATTCGGGGAAGAGACCACCTCCCGAAAAATCAAGGTGCAATTTTTGGTGGTTGACTGCCCATCTCTCTACAACTACATCTTAGGGAGACCGACACTGGACGAGTTGATCGCCATGTCCTCCATTGTCCATTTGAAGATGAAGTTCTACACTCAGAGAGCACGTCTCCACCATCCACGGGGATATCTCAGCTGCCATAAGATGTTTTCACGCGGCTTCCAAAGGGCAGAGCATGGTCGACACTGGAGCGCGACCCACCAAGAGAACTATCACTACTCGACCTAAATCGCAGCCTACTCAGATAGAAGAACAAAGGGCTCCACCAAAAGGTTGATTCCATCTCGCTCAACACCCGATTTGACAAAGATGAAGTCGAAGCCCCCAACGGCGAACATGAACTTCTCTGATCCATTCTAGATAGAGACTTCGAGTTCACCCCTGTTGTACCCCAAAATTTGCCCTCTCATTCTTCGCTCAAGATGTTATCTCAGGGTTTCTCAAGTACCCAATTTGGCTCAAAATTGATCAAATAGATTCTCCTCCTAGGCAACAAGTCAGCAGTTAGGGTTTTGCACTTCCCAAAGGAAATTGAGTCGTCAAGGTTTCAAATAAGTCACCATGTCTCCTCAAAGTTGTTTAAGTCAGTTTTCAAACCTCACATTGCAAGTTTGCCCAACCCATGGCCCAGATAACTGAAAACGGCTACATTGACTTGAAAATCGCTTTTGTGCGAGAACAAATTCAAACGATTGTAACTTCTTTATTATTCAATATTTTTAAGCGGTTTTCCTTGCGTTTGTTTCTTCTTGATTCCCTCTCAAAATTCTCTTCACGTATCAAGAGTTGATTACGCGCAGAAGATCACCAAAATTCAAATGCGTTAGAAGTCGCATCATGAATTTTGACCTAATTTCAAACAACAGTCGTTTGATCTCTAAGAATTGTGATTTTTTTTGCCAGATTACAAGACCTTGAGACGTTTATTTTTGGTCATGGTCATATGGGATGCTGTTCATGGGTTTATCTTCAAAGAGTTGGAGGAAAATTGGGCTTGGAAGATTTTTAAAGCTTTTGAATCATTGCAAGGCATTTGTGTGATTTTAAATTTTCTGAGGATTGATGTCATTCTTGGGAGCATGTTCTGTTTGGATAAGGTATAAAGATTAAGACTAGCATTTGTAAACAATCATGATTGTGGATTCATTTAATCAATTGGGTTTAAGCTCTTAAACATTTATTTTGTTTAAAAGTGCAAAACACATGATTTATCCTATCATATGGTGTTTGCTTAAAATGCAAGTTATCAAGCAAGATTTCTATTCAAAGTATTCAATCAAAGTTTGCAAATTTTTGTACAACAAATTCTACTACACCAAATTCTATTCAAGTGTTTGATTTGTTTTACAAATGAATTTACAATTTGTTTACAAAAAAAATCTCAAGACTACAATGAGAATTTCTTGTTTGCTTCTCCGGGTCTTCATCTTCATCTTCAAATGATCAATCCAATCTCCGTCGGCATCCAAGTCTTGCTTGTCGTTCATGAAATAAATCAAAAGAAAAAAAGAATAATTAGCATATATTATTGAAGTTAAGCAAGGGAGTTTCAAACAAATCTTCTCCTAATTCATCACTAGGGTTTGCTTTTAGGAATCAGAACTTTTTGGTCTATCATCATCTCTCTCCCAATTGCAAATCACAAAAAAAAAATCATCTTTCTTGGTTCACAAAAAGAGAGAAATAAAGCTACAAGGCAAGCAAATACAAACAAATTGCCCAAAACTGCAACAAAAAAAACTACAAGGCTGCAAACAGCAGCAATCAAATACAAAACAGGGGCAGGCTTACAACAAATACAACCTGCAACAAGTAAGCCAACAAGGTCGGGCAAGCAAGCATAGCAGCTAGTGAAAACAGCAACAGCATACTGCTATACAAAGCAGCACAAAGTATAAAAAAAACAAGCTGCCAAATAGAGTCAATAAACCTGCAACAAATACATAAGCCCACAAAGCAGAACAAATACATCATAAGCATAGCAGTAGCAAACTAACTTGCTCACATGTCATCATTTCCCTATTATCAAAAACGCTTCAGAAGTTTATAAAATAAGCAGAAAATTGCTTTTGTTTCATAGAAAGAGGAAAGAGGAAAGAGGAAAGAGATATCACCACAAACCAATGCAGTCCAAAATCCCGCTAAATGCCAAAGCCAGCTCTGCTCAAACTCAGCCCAAATATTGCACAAAAGAGGCAACTTAAGGCCTGCACCTTAAGATTTCAAAGTCAGCATATCAAAAAGTATTCAAACCCTAAGATTTCCCCCCACTTTTCACCTTGTTTCTTCATATAATACCAATTGTTGTTTCACAAACGGGGAGAAAAAAAAAAGAAGCCAAGGCAATACACAAAAACAAAACAGTAAAACCAGAAAAGATACGAACCAGGAGCAAAAAAACCAGACTAGTAAGGCCAGACAAATATACAAAGACCAAACCTCACTGCAAGATCAAAGGCCATCCAAGAAAAAAACCATACCAAAAATCCAAACCAATATTCATTATAACCAATAAAAATCACAAAAAAACTCAGTCAAAATTTCAACAAACCCTTTGTCTCAGTACACAAAAATCACAAAAAACTCAGTCAAAATTTCAACAAACCCTTTGGCTCAGTACACAAAAATCACAAAAAACTCAGTCAGAATTTCAACAAACCCTTTGTCTCAGTACACAACTTCACAAAAAAACTCAGTCAAAATTTCAACAAACCCTTTGTCTCAATACACAACTCAAAACCCGCAAAATCACAAACAAACTCAGAACCAACAAACTTCCAAAAACCCTTTTGTCACTCTCAACTCAGCATCACAAAAATATAAAGAACAAGAGACAACCTTACTCAAGTCAAGCTATTAGGGACTTCTTCAGAATCAACAACTCACGTAATCAGAAGAAGGAACGAAAACAAGATTCAAAATATACCTTAGAAGCCGAAAAGAAAAGGTAATTCATATTTGTTCTCACCCTTCTACGATTACAATAACATTCCGATTTGGGGTTTTAGGTTTCTCTGAGATGAGTTTAGCTAGAGATCGTGAGATAAAGAACCGAGAGTGAGGAGCTGAATCATGAGAGCTAAAAGAAACAGAGAATACATGTTGAGAGTATTCGTGAAGAGAGAGAGACGAGAGGCGTTTGAGAGATGAGAGGCATTTGATTAGGTTTAAGGAGCAAAGAAAAGAACGGAGAGAGAGAGAGAGAGAGAGAGAGAGAGAGAGAGAGAGAGAGAGAGAGAGAGAGAGAGAGAGAGAGAGAGAGAGAGAGAGAGAGA